CGGAGCGTGACATATATGCCTAACTCATTTATTATTGAGATGATTTATCTCGGAAATTGTTACATATAGACATATTTATTCCCATTGATCTACTTTGGTTTCCGATGAGGAAGCAATTTTGAGGGGCATTCATCTACGACGATTATTTGTCGAACCATATATACTAGCTTCCCTTGCGCGGGCAACGACTGCTTAGTAGTACTCATGGCACTTCCTTGAGCACTCCTAGTTACTTGATGTTTCCTTCCATTTCTTATTGATAGAATTTCTTGTTGGTAACCGTACTAGTATTTAACTCATAACATCAAAGAGAGGGGAAAGGGGGGAGAAGAAGAAGAAAAAAAAAGCAAACTTCTGTGATTTGGGGAGGGGGAAAAGAATCTGAGGTAGTAAACATATAGAATTAGAGCTATGGTTTACAGTTGCAAACTGGACGCACAACATATATAGCAGCTAATTTCTATATGATTATTCCCAGACACATGGAACCCTGCATGAGACAGATTCCTACTTTTGCCTTTTGTTTCAGTTATATATATGCATCCCCTCTGAGCCTCAACACGTTGAAGATGCGCTTGCTAAAGGTCATGCTCCTCAAAAGCCTTACAATCTACAAACATCAGCTTTAATCCAGCAAAGCACCTACCTAGCTAGTTTATATCCACAGTCACCAAGATATTAGGTACTATCAACGGACCCACTAATCAACTCATCTTACTTTACAAATCGACAGTGTCTCAGTCAGGCTCTTTCACTTTAGGCTTCTGTTCGTAGTATGCACTGACTTGCTTGCTTCTCAAGATTCTAAACCATCATGTACTCAGCTTATATATTATAGGGAAAATTGCTTCCAGCCCCCAAAACAACACAGAACGTGCTCTGCCCCCCCAAGACTTTTTCAACGTGCCTTTTACCCCCAAAACCGCCCCCGATTTTCTTCCAGCCCCCAAAACGAATCCCCAGGCCACCTTCCGTTTAAACACCGCTCGAAATGCCCAAAATACCCTTCGCAGCATGTGTTCGTCGCCCTCTCACGACGGAAACCCATCGTTTCGACTGTAGGCATTAAATGGTGATATGAATGACTTTTTTTGGGGGGAAAATTCCCATTTCCCTCCAAAATTATCATCAGATATTATCACCAGCTATATCCCCCTTCAAGCTAAGTTGTTCCTTCCACTTAATTATCTTCAATAAAAGCCTCTTCGATTCTTCAACCACTCCCTGTAATAAAATGGCGGATGGATCTCTTCTATGCGTGGTAACGAAGGCAAAAAGCAACAAAAGTGGTGACGGTGTATTCGTCGTTATCAAAGAGAATACAGAAATAATCAGCTTGAAATATCGAGTGGCGGAAAGGCTTAAAATACCAATGCAATCTCTTTCACTGAAGTTCATATGCGAAAGGGAAAAGAAATTCAGCATTTCAATTGACAATGACGACGACTTAAATTTGATGTTCGAGTATTGTCGGCGTAATGGATTTACAGACGCGAATTTGCATGCCACCTCCGCTGCGGAATCCTCAACTTCGCAGAACACGCAGACTACGCCGGAAACTGCGTAGGAATTACACTCCAGATTTCCTTTTGAGTTCACTGATAGGTTTTGCCATTAGTTGTTAACCTCATGCATTGGTTGCTTTGGTAATGTGTTGGCTGTCAAGGTTATGTTAAGCACTGGTTGTTAAAGTTATTTGTTGGCTGTTACGTATACTAGTTGGTTGCTAAGTTATGGTGTTTGATGTTAAGTATATGCGTTTGTTGTTAAGGTCACGAGTCTGCCCTTAAGTATAAGGGTTAGTTGTTAAGGATATGTGTAGGTTGTTACGTTTATGAGTTCGTTGTTAAGGTTATCAGTTCGTTGCTAAGGCTATGTATTTTGATTTATACTTCAGGACAATACCGACAGAAAATTCGCGGTGCGCAGATACCCCGTTCACCCAAACCTGTAATGATGAGCGTATTCCTAATGACAACCCCACCGGCGACTCGATCATGCTGCTGGAAGACATGCTTAATCACCAAACAAAGATCCCAACTGAGTGGCACACCTCCATACGTGAAGTTGGTCAGAAATTTGATAGTGCTGCTGAAGTTAGATTAGCACTTCAATACTATTCAATTGCTAAACGGTTCGAGTATGATTTTTACCACAATGAACAAAGACGCATAAGAGTCTATTGCCGATTCAAACACACACATGGTTGCCCTTGGATGTTGTTTGCTTCCCCGCTCAGAAATTCGTCTATCATGTCCATAAAGAATTTCGAGTCTACCCACACCTGCGGTCAACATGGAGCAAATGCTGGCAACTCAAGGGCATCAAGGAAGTTCATTGCTAGCCAAATACAAGCTGTTTTGAAGGTTAGGCCAGATCTTCGTGCGGTCGATATCAAGAACGACATGCTCTCTAATTTTGGCATCAAGATTAACTACAGTAAAGCGTGGTGGAGCAAGGAGACAGCTCAACAGGACCTGTTCGGTGACGATGATGAGGCTTACGATTCACTGAGATGGTCCTTATCTTTTTTATTCTTCTGAAATCACTCTTACCTTTTGGTTGCTAACTATACGTAGTAGTTGTTAAAGTTGGCGGTTCGACGTTAAGTGTACGTGTTGGTTGCTAACTATACGTATTAGTTGTTAAAGTTATTGGTTCGTCGTTAAGTATACGTGTTGGTCGTGAAGTTTGAAGATCATTTGTTATGGTTATGAATCCTTCGCTAAATGTACTGCTTTGTTGTTATATTCATGCAGGTATGAATCCATGGTGCATGCAACTAATCCAGGGAGTCGTGTTGTTATTGATGCTGATGACGGGAGGTTCAGGCGACTGTTCATTAGTTATAATGCCTGTATTGAAGGGTTCATTGCTGGGTGTAGGCCTCTATTGTTTTTGGATGGAACATTTATTAAAGATCGTTACAGAGGCATACTACTTAGCGCTACTGGGTATGACGGCAACCAGGGAATATTTCCCCTAGCTTATTGCGTATGCGACCAAGAGAATGAGGTTAACTGGAAATGGTTCTTACAAGGATTATGGACGTTACTGTATGATAGGGAAAATCCTTACCAACCTCCACATCGACTGGTAATGATTTCAGACGCCGACAAGGGTATCAGGGCAGCAGTCGAGGAATTCTTTCCAGATGCATTCCATTCAAGGTGTGTTCTGCATCTAGTCGAGAATTTCAAAAAAAAGATGAAGGATTTTGGGCACAAGGCAAATATCGCGACTACGTTGGGCGAGCTGTTACAATCTGCGGCTTATAAGTTCACAATATCTGAATGGGATAATGACATGAAAGAATTGGCAGCGATCGATCACAGGGCTTATGTCACTGTAATGGAATACT